CAGATGCCTGCCAGAGGTTATTACAACGATCATTCTTCAGGATGCACGCAGATGCTTACCAAGGTATAGCCCCTTTTCTTCTGGCCTTGGGTAGCATAACATGGCCGTCGTTTCACCGACGTAAAGAAATCCGCCTGCTAGACCATTGATAACCTAGTCCCGTCAGTATATTTCCCTTGTATGGATGAGTGATGATAGTACATTGGATGCTATGAGGTACCAGTCGATGCCGAATTTAGCGTTTACATAGTACGCAGATCCTTGAAGGGGCATCGTAAGAGCCGCAATGAAGCACGCCCATTTGATTCCTATCCTGTTGATGATGGGGCCTCCGAGGATAGTACTGATGAAGCCCATGGCGTAGCTCAACGAATTTGCAAGATTCGCTAGCCATGGTGTAGACAGACCGCCTCCTCCTAGATTGGATATAGCATCACCCATAGCTGGGCCAACCAACGAAAGCCTTGACCATGTTCAGCGTCCCGATGGTAGTCTCTGAGAGGATTACTTACGCTCCGAACATCACCATCTGGAACAGCACGCTCCGATATAAAGTCGACCATTTCCATGATCGCAGAAAGTCGTAATCGATCACTTCTTCCTGCGATCCTATCGCAATATCCTCACCACCGTCATTCTCCTTGTCATGCACTGTGGCGTCTTTGGTGTCTTTAGTTTGCGAGTAATCCATGACAAAACTTTTACTGAACATCGTTCATGATACGCGTTCACTTTATGCAGGACTCTTGAGTGCTCAAGAATATCGACCGGCAAGGTGATTGGGAGGTGGTGCCCCTTGTTTGCTCCAGATAAGCATTGCACCGGCCCGGTCTGTAGCGCGACTGATTAGACATGGTGTTATACGGCGACTCGTAGAGTACGTGCTTATCGAGCATGAATGAAACCGCAAAAACTTGTAGGATAAGCGGAGTGGACATTCTTATCTATATTCACGAGAAGTGAGGAGAAAAGACGTGGTCGATAAACATCTTAGAGACCAGTCTCAGCAGTTAAAAGCCAAGATCACTTCCTTGTCGGTTCGCGTGTCAGTCTCAATACTGCACTATGTTGCCGTCTCAGTCTGTCCTATAGCTATCGCTTCGAGCGCTAGCCCACGAGCTCCGGCCAAGTTACCCCTGCCAACCTAGGACGTCGCCCGTTTTCCGTCCACGCCGGCTCCATATCGCTAAGCTCTTCTCGGGAGCATGGGGTAGAAGCCGTGCTCGTCCATCGCGCTCTTATCAAGTTGCTCCAGGCCTTTGTAGCCCCATCGCTGTTAGCATGTGTATGCTAAGCACGAGTCCGAACAAACGACGATGCTTGGGGAGCTCTAAGAAAACTAGCCCATGTTTTTGAAAAGGCAGAAAGGCAACTGCGCGCGATATAAGCGTTGTCGGGAGTGACGAGAAGCGCCGGTGTTGGAGTTGCGGGGTGTGGAGACATCTCCACTCTTCCCAACACGCGTACCAATCAAGCCACTAGCATTACAAACCTTTCTCCCGATGGGCGGGAAGAGAAGGCATTCAAGTTCCTGGTCGACGACCGGCATATCAAGGCTTAGCTAGTATCAAGCTCTAAGAGGCCTCAGATGTGCGCGTTACGCGAAGATGCGCACATCTACACGACAGGTCTCAGGAGTACACCTGGTTGTTATAGTCATCTATGGCTATAGCGGTATGGTGCCAAAGTGGCGTTTGAATTGACCTTGGAACGACGCTGCAACCTCAGACAGATCGCGATGGTCAATCAATCTTCAGTCAGTGTCCCATGGTCGTATGTGTACGAACCAAACAAATACGAATGTTGGATTGTCAGACTTCCGCACATAACGATGAGAACATGTAAAGTACACCTCAATAGTTACACAAGCATCGCGTGGCTGACATACGCACCCATACCCGCCAGATAATCTCGAGAAAGGACAAAGGAAACCTCTCCTCAGCCAGACAGGTCTGAAATCTTCAAACGTATTGTTCCACCTGCTTCTCACTCCACTCCCAAAACGCGCTCGCAGTCTTCTTACCAGCTTCGGAATAATAGTCCTTCCTAACCTGCATAACCCTGCCGAACGGTACGACCCAGTCACTCGTATTGAGATTCGCAACATCAGGCGCGAGGCCAGCGAACAGCTCAGTGTACGCGCCATTCACAGGTGGGTGCAAGATCATGTTAATGAGGAAAAGTTGGAGTGCAGGTACATGGCGCTGCAGATCAGATTTGAGGTTACCGGGGTTAAGCGCCTATCATTCCGCATGTTAGCAGGGTAGTTCAGAGGAAAGAGAAGAAGGTGAATTACCACGCTAACAACCCCCTGCTTTCGGTACCGTCTCTGGAATTCCATCGCATGAAACACATTTCCCGCTTTGCTAATCCCGTACTTGGTCATCTGACTGACATCTGTCTTATAATCCAAGTTGTTCATGTCCACACCACCAGCGGGCGCGATGACATGCGCAGCTGATGAGCTCACCCAAACTACCCTCACACTGCCTTCTGGCTCTTTCTTCGCTGTCTCAAGTAGTATGGGCGTGAGTAACTTGGTGAAGAGAAAGGGCGCGACGCAATTTGTTCCAAGCTGCAGTTCGTATCCTTGTTTCGTTGTTGTGCCCTTCGGTGGTCTCATAACGCCTGCGTTGTTGAACAGGACGTCTAATCGGGTTTCCTTTGCGAGAAAGCTCTCTGCAGATGCTTTGATCCCATGGAGATCGTCGAGATCAAGATGAAGATAGTGCAATGTGCCCTTGGATTGCGGGCAAGCTTCTTTGATCCAGGATATCGCTGTAGAGGCTTTCTCATAGGATCGGGCCGCTACATATACGGTAGCGTTGCGGGAGTAGAGGAGCCGGGAGAGTTCTTTGCCTACGCCTGCTGAAGCACCTGTCACAACATAGACTTTTCCGTACAGGTTGGGAAGCGAAGATTCGGTGAATTTGGCTGCGGGTGGGAACATTTGACTGAATTGGGAGCCCATCTTGAATACAATGACTAACGATGAACGAAATGAGTATAATTATCAGAGAGACTAGAGACAGTGAAGACAGTGACACCGTTAAGAGGAAGTTGAGAATTTTTGTAGCATGTACTGGCGACTTTGCAAGAGATATATATCCTGATGTTACCTAAATAGGTAGGTACGTTGTTGGAGCAAGTTTCCCCATACGAGCAATGCTGGTGCTTCGATCGGTCCGTTGCACAACGGACGATTCCTGCGTAAGAAGGACACCACAACCGACTGGGAATTCGAGCGACAAAAAGCCTACGCAATCTTGGCTTTTCCATGTAGAAGCTGCGCCACTACATTGCGCATCTCTTTCGGCAGCTGTTTTGGTGCGTCGTGATCGGACTTAGGACGAGATGCGCGGTCGAAAGGTGATTGGGTCGCGGAGTTAACAGACCACCTCCAATGCCAACTCATGGAAGTAGAACAACCCAACAGACTCATGCGAATGTCACATGATCGGAGTGAAGTTGCGGAATGTTTTGTTTTGTTTTTCTGCTGATGGAATGAGTCCCATGAATGCAGCACTCCTTGGGTAAGTTACTTAACACAGCCCGATTCTTTCATCTTGTAGCTAGCTGAGTAACTCGCTTCATAATGACGAGGAACGTGACTTGATACGGTTTAGCGAAGATCTTGAGGTTACCTCGAAGATACAAGAGATGATGCTTGAGTCGACTTTTGGTTCTGCAACTAAACAGAGTCATGTTTCTAGAATGCGCCCTAGCAGCATGACGTATTCACAGGAATACTCGCTGGATTCCACACGACCATGTTGCCAAACTTCATACCATGAACACGGTCAAAATAGGATTTGCGAGAGACCGATCTCTTAATGCTTGAGCAAGAATGACCTAACAGTAGCATACAATCAGCAGGCGCTGACCTAGAAAGAGCAGGTGTTGAAGCTAGGCAAGATAAAATTTGTCGAAGAGTAAACCTTCACACTAAGCAATCATCCCCAAATTGTTTACTCCGCACACTTCTAGAATCTTGCGCGCTTCTAAAGTAACGATAGCGTATCCGTATCATCGATAAATTCTTCAATATCGTCCAAGACCGTTGTTCGACCACCATCCAGGTTCACCCATCGTAAAGACTCTTAAACCCGGCAGCAAGCCCAGCAATCCTGGAAACATCAGCTCAGTATTCAGAATAATTATTGCGATACCGAAGTCCAATTGTTACTTACACCGAGTTGCGCAGGTTCCTACCACTAATTAGCAAATATTCAATCTCGTAGCGAAACTCGATCACCATACCCATCCTTCACCACAATTAATAAACGATTCTGAAGCGCAGATACGCGTGCAGACTCTGGCCTCAGGAGTTGCAAGCACTGTTGGCGGTGCTTGCGTAGGGCGAGTCAGCGTTGGCCCTGCAACTGCGAGGGTAGTGAGGAGGGTAATGACAACGAAGGTTTTCATGTTGACTATTCTGATTATGTCTTTTGTGTTTCAAGTTGAGGAAGAAAATTTGGTGTTAGAATGAAGAGGTAACAAGGACGAACGGAGGGCTATATACGTTCGCTACCCGCTAAAAGCGCCTTTTGATGAACCATTGTTCTCGAATCGGCACAGCCTGAACGAACGTGCTCCAGACCGGCGCGAAACCACGTGTTGGGTCTACTTCTCAGCTTATGTCTGACGCACAATCATCTTCGGAGATTCTTCACAAACACAGTAAATGTGACCAACAAACGAGAGTGGCCTACTTTTCGGGTACCTGTTCGGTTACAATCCACCTGGCCGACACTACGAAAGCAAGAGCTAGTAGGAGAAAGTGGAAGTCAAGATATCATACGCTAGTATTCATAAGAGACTGTACTTATAATGCCATACTACTGCTTTCATCTAGAACTAATCCCGATTGTGTCGCATGACTAGATCATCCTATAGTCATTCTCTGTAATTAACCTCTTTGGCTTCACCTAGCTCGCGAGCATCTCCTCATCTGCCTCGTATGATGCCTCAAGTCCTTCACAGTTTCATCCAATCGATCTCTAGACTTCGCAGCAGAACCAACATTCCTACCAATATCAGCGTAAACACTAGTCCAATAGAATATGCCGCAAGGAAGTCGAAAATACTTACACCAGAGTGAACAGGTTCCTAATATGTGTTAGCGCATGGTCGTTTAGATTGAAAAGCCAATGACATACCCAGCCCTCACCACACTCTGTCGCTTCCGGGAAACAAGGGCGCGTGCAAGCCTTGGTCTGAGAGGACGCGGCCGGAGTGGCACCTACGAATGCGGTAAGGAGAGTGATGATGGTGATGAAAGACTTCATTTTGGTGTTGATGACTGTTGACAGGTATAGGAAGTTGGTGGACGTCTGGTTTGTGTGGAGTGTAAAAGTGAGGAGCGGGTGTAGGCGGCGGTATATATACATTTCTTACCCGAACGACTGCCTAAAAAACATTCACCAGAACATCACAGATCCAAGTCCCTCAGCCGTTGCACATAGTACGTGACACGCAAACTTTACTACTACGACTGACATGCAAACCATCTAATCCAATTCATACATGGTAAACGCGTACGTTGGAGAGAAAAACGCCACACCAATCTTCTCGGCCGTCGAGAACCCATGGAGCTGAAACAGAAAAGTAGTGAATGAGGCGGATGATCTAAGGAGCGGCTAAGGTTGGTCATAGCGATATGCTTTCCAAGCGTTCGAGATGATGTTGGTGTCGTTTGTAATGAGGTACGAGCAGTCTTGGCTAATATACCGCCCGTCCTGCTTACCCGGTTTCGGGGCGACGGGTTCCCCGCATGCTGAGATACTCACAACTGAACTCAAGATTGGGGGGACAGATTTGCATAAAGGAGGAAGCGATGACTCGGATGTTGTTGTAGGACGACGGTGCCAGGTTCAATTGTGAGGAGTGCGGAAGAGCATCGAGAAGGCGCCTGTATCAATTCAAAGTACGGTAGAGATCGGTCCGTAAAGATTCGCAAAGTTCAATCTCGTTATAGTTCCATGCATTCGCCAATGGAGAAAACTCCGGGAACGGAGAAGAGATGAGAGTAAGCACCGGCTTGGCTTTGCTACCACTGTACCACGCCAAACCCTTTACTACAACACCACATCAGCCCATTTCCATCTGCTCATCCTCAAAGCTACGTAGCTCACATCTTCTCAAGATCGTGTCCTACAAGAAGAGACATCCGATTAGAAGATTGCGACAGCATTTGGCGGACTCGCAACACCACCAGGTACCTACACAAGGATTAGCTCTCACCTCAGTCTCAGCAATTGGTAATACATACCTTCAACGGCACACTACTAACAAAGCAAGACCTCCGTCCTAACTCCTCGCTCTTCTCACACAACCGCTCCAAATCAAACATCTCACCTATCATGACACCCCAGCCACCCAGCAACCACTGGTGTAATAATCCACCGCCCTGCATATCTTTTTCCCAGGATTCACCCGCCCAGAGACCACCTGGAGCGTTATGTGGGCCTACTAGAGGTGCCATTTCAAAAGAAGGGGCGTCGGATGCTGCGCATTCATCAGTTTATGTCACGTCGTGATTGGTTGGTCTTGGATAAAGAGATAGGGTAACGTGGCGTAAGTGGCAACGGAGATGAGATAAGATGTGGTGAAGTGAGATGGGCATCCTTACCAACAGCGACAAACCCATTTTCCCAAATCCACTGTACTGACTGCTTATCCGACTGCACACCCAAGAACGCCGGCGGCTTGTCCCTGATAGTTCTCTTCTCTTCATCGCCTAGCTTGGCGTAATCGCGAGTGAATCCCGTTCGTAACAATAACATATCACCTTCTCTCGTCTTGATACCTGTTTCTTGGAGCATATCCTCCAACTCCTCTGCTGTAATACTATTCGCATCTAGTGCGTACACTCCTTTCTTTCCTTTCCTTTCAAGATATCGCGGGTAGTCCAGGATGATACCCCGAGTGGTGATACCACCAGAGTTAGCCACACGATCGATGCCGATGACTTCCGACGACTCGATATCTTGCTGTGATCGCCCGCCGTAGTATCTCTTTGCGCTTTGGTATCCGTAATGTCTGAATCCGTCCCACTGGCTACTTCCTTGAGTGTTGAAGTCTAGATGATCATCGTTGACTGTTCTCTTCGTACCGTCTGGATGTTCTTTGTTCATCATTTTCCAAGAGAATTGTGGCCGGTTGAACGAAGGGTGAGAAGGTAAGTTAAGATACCAATCTAGCGAGACGCGGTCACCTGTTTGTATTTCTTGGGCGGCTGCTTTGACGACAGACGGTGTGATCATATTCAGAGCACCGAGTTCGTCGTCTGCACCGTAGAGCCCCCATGCGTTTCCTGGAGGGCCATTCTTGTCGAGTGGAAGATCCTGAAATGGAGGGCGAGAGCGTGGCGACATGTCAGATTGCTGCAGAGCTGGATTGTCTTTGGTGTGTGGTGAACCTGCGGGTATTCGACCTGGATGTTCTGTTGTCTTTGAAGGAACAAGAGTGCATCATGCCAGACCGGTGACCTAATACTTCGGCTGAATGTACAGCGAGGATTATGTGACGTGTAGTGGGGTAAAGCGCGGGGTAGCTTCCGTAGTCGCTGGCTCGGTAATTGATATGGTTCGGGAATCACGACCGTTGTGCGAATAAACATTCAGCTTCATTACCAACATGCTGTAGAATACTGGATGTCACGCCCTTCTAAACCAAGCATGCATTATTCATATCTCATCATAATAAAAGGTAGGTCTCGGGTAGGCGCTGGCGACGCGCTTTGGTATTGTTATACCTACTATGCCACATCAGCGGAATCAAAAGTCCGGCCCCATCCCTACACCACTTCCTCTTGAGCTTGTGTTCTTCAAGTGTGCACCACTGCCTTTAAAAAGACTTTGCCAAATAAAGGCCTCGCTTAACAATAGCTCAATGTCCTTCTCTGTCCACTGTCGCGTTGGTAACGATTGTAGGAACATCATCGTCTCTTGGAAATCCATCTTTCGCAGTTGATCGGACCATTTGACGAGAAACGCGGCGCAGACATAAAGGTGAAAGGACGAAAAACCATCTTCTTCGGCCTATGAATAGTCAGTGATGCGCCCTAAGAGAGTGGCTACATGACTTACCAAGTACGTGTCCCACATCCTTATCGTGTTCTTGACAGATATCTCGCGCATCAGGAGACAATTCATCCATCGAAAGCTGAACTGTATGAACTCAACACCCTCATTCTGCAAATGTCTCGCTAACTGGTCGTCGATACGTGTAGTAAGATCTCTTAGACTGGCCACTTGTCTTTGGATACCTGGTTGATGTGCGATGTAGTTATCTTGAATCCCGTCAAGAAGCTTGGTTAGACACCAAAAGGAATCTGCCTCGACTGCGTCCAAAACTTGTTTTGGTAGCTGGCCAGGATCCATACCGAACTCGATATCGGGATCTGATATATAGGCACCAAGGAAGACCTGCCAAAATGGGGTGACCAGGTCGTTGATGCCCTGTACATAGCCCGAGGCAGGATGCCGTATCGCCCACACGTATAGTATCCGCTCAAGGGATCGTTGAGTCGCTTCGTAGCTGTAGAGCTCAAGATGTGGATTTGTGCGAGGCACGTCAATGCTGATTTGATGCCATATAGCTTCGTCCAAGCCACGTCCCCGCCCACGATTCGTCGAAGGATAGGCTGCGCCGCCTGCCATCCCAGAGGCGACGGCGCTCGCACTGCCAGATGTACCTCGTTCGAAAGCCTGCCGCACTCCCTCTAAGTATTCTTTCCGCTTGCGCTCCAGTGTCGCGACTCTCCTCTCGCTGCTAGTCGGTAGGTAGCCCAACAAGACCTGCCATGTCATGGCGCGCACTTCAGACGGAACACCTGACCATGCCGAGTCTCGCAGGTCTGACAATGATATGGTGCTCGCTTGCAATATCCTCTTGAACTTGTTGATTCTTGTTATTCGTGCGGAGTGCTCCTCGACCTGTTTAGCTGATGCGTTTGGGGGTGGGGTAGCATGTGAAATAAGATGTAGCGAGTTTGCGGGGTCTCGAAGGATCTCTTGATACTGTGGCCGTAGGATCTTGCCTTCGATCTTCTTCGCGGTTGGGTAGTTCGGTATGCCTCGCTCCTCCGCAATATCACCACTGTCTATACCGCGCCACGCTGTTGAGCCCAAGCTTTCTCTACTGACATGTCCGGTTGTTTCTTTTGCCTTGGATGGTTGTTTCCGCCGACCCTTCCTCCGCATGTTTGCGATGCTCGGCAGCCCGAACTCGTCCTCGTCATCCTCAAACATGTTGTCGGGATCGTCTTCGTCGCCATCGTTCCAATCTTGGTGGGTATCATTGAGGAAGTAGCTGTACGTTGCTCGTGCGGGACGGGGTGACACGGTCTTACTGGACCGGCTCGGTGCAGCGCTTGACTCGCGACTGTGGGTGGTCGATGGCGGGGTTCGGGGTCGCGAGTTCGATCCAGATACGCTCCTTTCAGCAATTAGTCGTCTTCATAATGACAACACTTGAAGCAACATACAATGAACTGAAGTTGTGTATGTCGGCATGCGAATAGGATGCGCCGATGACCTTCTTGTTTTGCGGTGAGCTAGCGGAGTTGGATGTTGTGCGCCAGAATGGAGAGCCCGAGCTGTGCATGAGATATCAGTACCCGAAACCCATATGCGACGGGACTGTAGTAACGTACGAGGACCGGTCTGTATGCAGGGAAGCGATATGTTAGCTACCCCGGATACTATGACGCTCTTTGTGGTTTGGAAGGACACGAACCGACCTGGACCATTTCCTGGCAGATTGTTAGCAAACAAGGAATTGCGCACAAGATTGGGGGGACAAACCTGCTGCTGCTTCTTAGAGGCCATGTCTGAACAAGTGAACGCTTGTCCTGTGTCTCGAGGCGGCCCCGCTATGAACCCAAGCTTCAGATGGCTCTACCGGGCAAGCACGAAGAAACTCGTTTCCTTTAGGTCGTACCTGACACCTTCCTAGGCACCAAAGGTGTTCGTTCTCTTTCGAAGTGATATACTCCCAAGAATATCGCTATTGTCTCCAGTACACATATGGCTGGTATGTCGTAGGGCTCGTGCATGTATCCGTCGCGCCTGCCACGCCAAGCCCGATGCTAGCGCGCCTGCCCATTGCTCTGCTCTCATCTCCTCACTCAAGCGTCAGGCTCTTCCTTCTGTCACCTCCCTTCCTTCCATTCAACCCGACGATTGCGCTTCACTAACCGCGACCTCACTTTCGCGCGCTCATACGTCTTTTTCTTTTGCACGTTTTCTCTAACAAGCTCTTCTCTAACACTCCAACATGGCCGACGAAAACTACGAGGACGACATCTTTGATGATCTGTACGTGCTCTCGGCGCGACTAAAGCATGATCGCAGTTCGCGGCAATCTACTAACAATGCATTAGCTACGATGACGAGCCCACGTCCAAGTCCGCGGCAGCGGCACCTGCCCCAGCCCCCAAGACGGAACCCGAACCCACCCAAGCCGAGCCCGTGAGCGCGCCGCCTCAAGATTCTACACATGACAATGCTCAGAATGCTGCGCCTTCTTGGCCAGCTCAAGCTGGGGGCGAACAGGACTCGCACATGGACCAGTCCGGCTACAATGCTGGGGGTGACCAGTCGTACGACAATGCGCCCGTAGATGATGACAACTATGGCCCAATCAACGTGAAAGAAGATGGGTAAGTCGTGCAGTGTCCAGTTCGATCATGATCTCCCAGAGGCGCATCACAAGGTATAAGAACATGTATATCGCATGTTATAGTTGAAGACAAGAGCACGTCGCTGCCAGGACCATCGCCATCAACGGCCACATAGGATATCGTGCTAGAGCGCTCGACAACATGAGAGAGGCGAACTATTCATGGAATACATTGCGAGCACAATCAGAGGACAAGCTCTGCACACTTCAGTCTGTCGCGCATTTCAAAGCACCAGGGGCCATGGTTGGCACAGAGTCTGGGATAAAAGCCTAGGAGCTAGACACCTTGCGAAAGATTGTGGTCCATGTCGTCCACTGGTGAGGCGCTCAAAGCATGGCAAAGTGGGCCACCAGTTTTGGTTGTTGGAAGAAGCTGGAAAATAAAAGTCAATCGCTCAGCGATACTCAGAGCAACCATCAACGCGCCTTACGCAGGGACTATCGCGGCTTGCCCAACTTTGGCAGCGCCTCATGTCGATATAAACCTAGGTACTTGATAGCGCGTACCAGCAACGCAAGCAAAGGATAGCTACCGAGCTGTGAGATAGTCTGAGACTTCCACACTCGAATTCATAGCAGAACACAGACGTTTCATCCGAATCAAACTGTGCCTTTGCAAGGGCTACTTTTGCACCTCGAAACTTGGACTTGAGTACGTGGAGTGCATTCTTGGTCGATATGATTGGTGCACGCCACGAAGTCGACATGTCCTGAGTAGGATGCGGCGCAGGAGTTGGGTTCGCTTAGCCATCCGTCTGCGACCGCATACGGTCCTCGAGCGAGCGACGCCTTGCTGCAAAAAAAAAAGGAGCCTTACGATATCAACGCATATGTTCTCAGCTCAGTTTCCAATCATCCACGATAGAACACGAATTGCGTCCTCTACATTACTGCGACTGGCAAAACTACTCCGGACCCATCACCAATCGATTAGTTGTCAAATGTGCAGCACGGCCAATTTTGACGAACTCGACTACATGGACCTCGTTACGATAAAAAAAAATTGGAATTATATTCTGCTATATCCATTTCTAAGGATGATGGCTGAAGGTGCGATAGAGGGATCATGGGCGTTGAGCCTATATTTCCAGCTTATCATACTTCGATAAGGGTATTTTCGACAACAACACCACGGCCAGTCTCTACGCGGAGGCACTTCTAACTGAACAGCTATAGATACCATATGATGCGCCTCGTTTTTCTCTTTTGGGTTTACTGATAATGTCGCTACTTATGATTGTTTTACTGACTTCAGCCATAGCAAGATGTTCATCGGCGGACTGAACTGGGAGACTACAGAAGGTATGTAAATATGTCTTGGTCCATTCAATTACATATAGAACGCACAAACTTACTAACCCTTTGCAACAGACTCCCTCAAGGGCTACTTCTCGCAGTTCGGTGAAGTTAGTGAATGTACCGTCATGCGTGATGCTGCTACTGGACGTTCTCGAGGATTCGGCTTTCTCACGTTTAAGGACCCCAAGTGCGTCAACATTGTCATGGTCAAGGAGCATTACCTTGATGGCAAGATTGTACGTCTATACCCGCTCAAATGCGAAGCACTGACTAACATTGTTTAGATCGACCCGAAGCGTGCGATTCCTCGTGAAGAGCAGGAAAGAACGAGTAAGATCTTTGTCGGTGGCGTCAGCCAAGAAGCCACTGAGGAAGACTTTACAAACTTCTTCAAGCAGTTTGGTCGCGTCGTCGATGCCACACTTATGATGGACAAGGAGACTGGCCGACCCCGAGGTTTCGGCTTCGTTACTTTCGATGGTGATGCAGCCGTAGACGCTACTCTACGCGGTCCCCTACAAATTCTCGGCAAGCAGATTGAAGTTAAGCGTGCTCAGCCTCGTGGTAACATGCGTGATGATGATGGAGGCGACGGCAACAAGAAGTTTGGCCGCGGGAACAAGTTCAACAAATTCAACGACAACGGTAACGGTGGCCAAGGTGGCGGTAACAACTATGACAATAACGGTGGAAACATGCAAGGCCAAGGTGGCAACAGCGCCATGTCCCCTGCCATGATGGCTCAGTACTGGCAGCGAATGCAACAGTACTTCCAGTCCATGCAGCAGACCCTCGCCCAGCAACAAGCCGGTGGTGGTATGCCTGGTAATCCCATGGCTGCCATGGGTGGTATGAACCCGATGCAGATGCAGCAGATGCAACAGCAGATGATGAACCAAGGTATGAACCGTGGCAATGGCTCTCCGAACCCCCAGATGATGGGTGGCCCAGGTGGAATGAACCCAATGCAGATGCAGCAAATGCAGCAGATGCAGATGGCACAGATGCAAGGTGGTGGAGGCCCAGGAGGTCAAGGTGGTCCGGGTATGATGAATCCTCAAGGTGGCCAAAGTGCCGGTGGTCCACGCCCAGCTTACACCGCTCAAGATCAACTCGCTTTCGAACAGCAAAAATACGAACAACAGCAGGCACGCCGCCAGCAGCAACTCTCCGGCCCCGCCGGCTTCGGTAACGCTCAAGGAGGACCTCAGAGCTGGGATGGTATGTACGACGACGCGCCCCAGCCAAACATCCCCTCTGGTCCCGGAGGCGGTCGCGGCGGCTTTAGGAACAACCGTTCTCGCCAGGGCTCTAGCCAACCCCCTGCTGGTGGTGGTCAAGCCCCCATCAACGCCCCCACTGGCCCTAAGAACGCTGGTGTCCGAGGCGCAAACTACCGTGGTGGAGGTCACCGTGGTGGTGGTGGTTTCAGGCACCAGCCCTATGGTGGTCGTGGCGGTTAGATGTGGATCTAAGGGTTTGCTAGAGAGACTGCCCAGAAAAGAGTTGGAATTACACTAAACAACCGGCTTGCTCATCAGGCTGAGCTAGGTTTGTACTTGGCGGAATAATCGAAGGTGTGATATGCATGGCCAGGATCGTGTTTAGGCACTTGCTCTTTTTTCCCTGTTTCGGTTTGAGATGGAGGAGAAAGCACATGATTTTCGGACTTACAGCATGAATAGGATGGAGCTTTAATTCTTTATGTATACTAGCATTCTTCAAAAAGTCCATTCCGGCGTTTTGGACCTTTTGAACCTTGTCATCTCCTTGATAATTATAGAGTGTGGCGACCGCATACAATTACCTTCTGTGAGACAAACATGGTCCCTATATGTGGAAATGGTCTGATAGTTCTAGAAAAAGGTTGTTCTGAATGCCCTGGTGACAGAGAGGGACTTTTATACCTGGACCCTGATCACGAAAGAAGCTAGCCAGAGATGGCAATGCAGGGAGATTTATTACCGCGAGTTGCACCTGGTGTCAAAAAGTGCCCTAAATTCTCGTTTACAAACTTCGATACATATCTTAAGCTTCAAAGTTGATATTCTGAGCAGACACTCTTCAATAAATGCCAAGCATCTTCCAGTTTGGCAGTCGAGAATCAGACAGTGAGGACAGGTTTCGTAGGGTAGTAATTCATTACTTTGCGACGTAGTCGTCATTAGTCTAACGTTCAAAAGAGCCATAGCTCAATCCTCAATCCCATCCATGCTATGATATTTAACAATAACCCAAACCAACGCTATGCAACTAAAATCCAAAAAGCAGCCGAAGTCATATCCAAACATTAAGGTACTCAAGTCTTCTGTCTTTGCTTCCCTTGTTCTGATAACTCCATTTCCAGGTCATGCCTGGCCAAGGTGCAGCCCAGAGCTTGATCGAGACTTTGAAACCAACATATCCTTTCGTAAAACATTTCCTAACACATGTACTCATCGCGACGATGCCAACGCCTAGTATATAGAACGCTGGACCGAAGTCCATCATATCCCATAAGTCGGTCCAGCGCGCCTATAGGCTGAGACATCCAGGAATGTGAACTAAGACGATGGCCCATGGTAATATGGACGAGACCATGAGCTTCCATGACGCGCCTTGTGCAGGCGCTGCAGGCACTCCGGTCGCAGCATTGTTCTCCAATTCGCTGATAGTCGGCACTGGTGTTTTGCTAGGGTATATCGTACGGATAGTGGTAAAGCCACGATCGTCATAACCAGTCACTGTCTTAGGCCCATTGTCGGAGGAACCCGTAGGTAAAGCTTGCGGCGATGAGGTATAGGAACCGAGAGGGGACATCTACAGAAGATTGTTAGCATTTTGTTATCGTGATAAGATAGGGGGTCGCAAAAGGCTTACTGACAGTGGCTGAGCTGGGTGGAACAACCTTTCCGGAATCCGAAACGGTCCACCCGCTCGGGAGCCCGGGGTAGTTTGCAAACGTTGGTTGCGGAGTGGGAGTAGCCGACGGGTCGGGAATCCAGGGGTAAACGCTGGGGCGAACGTAATCGGAGGTCTGGTGAGGTGTAAAGGGCAGGGGCTGTCCAGTAGCAGTCGCAGTGATGGCTGGTGCGTCGGCAACAGGAGCGTTACCACCAGAGAAGATAGTACCTCCGACAGACTTGATAGATCCCGAAGTACCAGTTTGGTCGCCATAGACGTATTGAGTACCGGTCGAGTAGTCCTGAACCTTGAGAGACTTGACCTTCATGCTGAAGGGGCCTTGAGAGTAGTCGGTGGGACCGCGAGCCCAAGAGATGGTACCTGCGGGGTTGGCTGAATCACCACCGCTCCATGCGCCGAACTTGATCTGCATAGGTGTCTGAGGGTATTGGTTGTTGGCGTTCGCAGGCTCTAGTGTACGGACCGTAGTACCATCAATCTGCCAGACAATCTGTTCTGGGGTCCATTCAATGGTGTATTTCTTGAAGCCTGACTGACTGCCCGGATCAGAGTGGAAAGCACCACGGTTGTAATCTGTTGTCTGTCCCTTGCCAAAGTAGTTGGATTGTACTTCATCGGGGTCTGCACCAAGCCATTCCCAGTCGATCTCGTCTAGCGTGTCGGATTGCAGCACGAAACTGCTGACAATACCCGCGCCCGGTGCGGCTTGAACCTCAATGTCAACCTTTCCGAACATGATGTACCACAGCGAAGTAAGCTGGGGTGCGTCTCCGGACTGTCTGACGGTGAAAGACACGCCATCGTTGCCGTATGTAGGGTTGCCTTGTGCTGTGAAACTCTCCGACTCGGACGAGAAGTCGATGTTGACGGTTTTGCCGAGGGCGGAGTCCGGGGGACAGTCACTTCGTAGAGTTGGGTTGCAGTTGGACCATGTCTGGGCGTTGGAGCGAGCGAAGAGGGCGACGGAGGCCAGAGCAGTGAGTGCTCGCATCGTGGAGCGCATCTTGGTGGTGACGTGACAACGAAGATGGCAGATAGCGAGCGTTGCCGACGGGATGCGTCGGGGTTATGGTGTAGTTATGCGATGTGATGCGATGTAATGCTCTAAGTGTGCTGTGGTATCAAACGAGTACTAAAGAGTAGCACATGCGAATGTCGTGGTGATTAGTTTGGTTGGTTGATTACCTGCTCAGCACTTGAGAGGTTATGGGTAAGATGCAGGTGCAGCGGCCCGGCCAGCATTGTACTTTTGTAGTGTACCAGCCATCTCTAAGCAATGACCTCCATGATGAGGTGTCAAGCAAGCTAACAGAGCGGGTCAGACTCTCTCGCGATCGTTAATGGTGGATTTGAACGAGGTTGGCGAGGCGACAATGCTTCCCAACCTCCCAGCCACCCAGCCACCACAAAGCTCGAGCCACGTCAGACCCGAGCAAGAACAGATCTTGGGTATGACGCAACCCAATTTCTTTCTTCTCAACAACTTTGGTCGTCGTGTAGACACTTTCCAAGAATTGCGCAGTAGGTAAGATACCTTGTAGGGAACACGAGGGCATCACGGACTTCCCCACGTGTGGCGCCGAGTCATGTGGCGTTGGGCAAATTGTGGCGCATGCATCCAGCATGCATCTGTACCTATCTTTGGACCCAACGCGGCCTCCACATACAGCTGCAGTGCGATCCGCCTCTAGTTACCAATAGTATTCGTAGCGGAACTAGACCCTGCATACGATCCTTCCGATAAAATCGCCTCAGACTTTGTCCCCCTCTAGACTAGGTATTCTGAGTCACGCGTGCGCAAAGAATTCATCAGTTATTAGGTCTCACCACCTCACCAAGTATCTCTAATAATGTCTCTAACCAACGCCACGCCGCTCCAAGTCGCTCAGGCGGCAAGACTCGGGTCTCGGAAACTCGCCGTCTTGTCTACCGAGGAACGGAATGCCGCATTGACAGCTATCCATGCCGCACTAGCAACTGGAAAAGAGGAGGTTCTAGCGGCCAATGCGCAGGATCTGGAAGCTGCGAACAAGGCTGCGGCAGGAGGCACGCTAAGTGCAAGTCTAGTCAAGAGACTGGATCTGGGGAAGCCGGGGAAATATGAGGATATGCTGCAGGGAATATTGGACGTGAAGGATCTGGAAGACCCAATCAACAAGACCACCGCGAAAACGCTCCTAGACGATGACCTGGTACTGTCAAGGATAACATGCCCTATTGGTGTGCTTCTCATCATCTTTGAAGCTCGGCCTGAAGTCATCGCCAACATCTCTGCGCTTGCCATCAAGTCCGGAAATGCAGCTATCCTCAAGGGTGGCCGTGAGTCTAGCAACAGTTTCGCGGCTATTGCATCCATCATCTCCAAAGCTCTTTCATCAACAGCAGTCCCATCCGACTGTCTGCAACTAGTCCAAACACACGATGTCATTGCCGACCTACTAAAGCAAGACACATACATCGATCTTTGTATTCCTCGTGGTGGTAACAAGCTGGTTCGCTACGTCAAAGACACCACCACCATTCCTGTTCTCGGTCACGCAGACGGAATATGTTCAGCTTACCTCTGCGCTGACTACCCCGCTGAGAAAGCCGCCAAGATCGTCTTAGACGCAAAGGCAAGCTACCCGGCCGGGTGCAACGCCCTTGAACAACTCATCGTTGAGGAAGCAGCCCTCAGCTCCACCCTTCCCACTGTCGCTGAGGCGCTGCTACAGAAGGGAGTGTCGCTACGCTGCGATCCCACCTCTCTGCTCGCACTCAAAGGCAAATTAGACCCGCACTCCGCAACACTGCTCCAGGAAGCCGGACCAGAGGACTACGACACTGAGTTCTTAGATTACATACTCGCGATTAAAACGGTGACCAACGTCGATGAAGCCATAAACCACATCAACGCACACGGCTCTCATCACACAGATGCTATCCTGACGACCTCAGAAGCCACAGCAAAGAGCTTCCTCGCTGCCGTCGACTCATCTTCTGTTTACTGGAACACCAGTACACGCATGGCCGACGGACAGCGATATGGCTTTGGTACTGAAGTCGGCATCTCGACGAACAAGATCCATTCCAGAGGACCTGTAGGACTGGAGGGCTTGACAATTTACAAATGGATCATTGTTGGTGACGCACAAGTCAGCGCAGACTATGGCGCAGGGGGTAAGCAATGGAAGCACCAGCGACTCCCTGTAGGCGATGAAGAAAGCATAGCTAGGGATGACGAGGAGAGGGAGGTGTTGAGGAAGTTTAGGGCAAGCAAGGCTTAGTCTAGACTTCGTATGTAGAAGAAAAGGCATACTTCATGACCTACGTACAAACTAGCCCACACGCATACCAACTTTCGGCTTTCATGCACTTCAAGTCAACATTAAAAAAACCACGTTACCATCGACCTTCCAACTTGGTATTCGTCTTTTCGCCACATAACCGCGTTTCCCTCCATCTCGCCCTACCTACCCCATGCCACAATACGGTGTACAACATGCTGTCATCTGCAAGATCCTGCAGACCCTGCATTGTCTAGCTACCCTCAACATGTCCTTCCATCTCCGGAGTCTCCGTAATACACCCGTTAATCCAACGCTTGTACGCGTCCCTAAGAACACAGCGGTGACTGTGTAACAAAGAAAGATTAGAGCGGTTGGCAAGCATACAGAATCGGCCCGTTGATTATACATGGGTGGGGGGTACCCACCGTGGTGTGATTGCTACGACTCGAAAACAAGTCTAACAAGATGAGGATGCGACAATCAGTATGCCCGCGGTTATTATCGCTAGTCATGTACAAGTGAAAACGTATTCTCGCGATCGATCGATCGGGGAGGTAGAGGTTGTGTTGAGTATTGAATACATGTCACCAATGGCGGCTGGAATCATTCAAACAGCTCATGTACGAGGACAAGATGTGTGAATGTGCAAGTCTAAAAGTATATTTTTGTTCTACATCTATTCAAGATGCGAAGTGATGCACCTATCTCTACCTAGAGTCCGCACTAATGCGCCAACTCCATGTCTTCCCGTCCCTCATAACATAACGTGGTATCCCATAAACATTTCCGAAACTGCACATGCTGAATATCTAATGTGTATGCGCCTACTCAACACCCTTGTTCCTCAGAGCAAGGGGAGTCTGAGCGAAGATCTGGGCACCGTCCTTGAGGCGGCGCTCCTCGTTCTTACGGCCGTTGACAAAGTCGGGGTGGTTGAGGGTCAGCTCAACAGCGCCGTTGACAACGTGGTCGACAGCCTCTACACCCAACATGAATGAGTGGTCTTGGTTACCGACCTCGTATCGCCATGAGCCGAAGCGGCCACGCGACAGAATGTCCTTTTGCTGGAGCGCAGGGAGAAGCTTAGTGAGAACGCCCTCACGCTCGAGCGAGGGTGTGGGGTATCCGTGGTCGAAGCGGCGGTGGTAGGTTGATACGATCTCGTCGTCGGACTTGATCATCTCGGTGTTGATGAGACCCTGAATGCAGTCCTTGAGCATGTTCTTCTCGTCAACGGGCTTCATGCTGGACTCGGAAACCTCCAACATGATGGACCAGTATGGACCCTCCTTGGGTTCGGTGGAGCTGGGCTTGGAGCCATCTGCGAGCTGCTGAGTGGCAAGCTTGACGTCCTTTTGTGGCTGGTTGTATGGCGAGTAGTTGGAGAAGATGGTGGCGCGGTAGAATGGGCAGTCATCCTCGGGGAAGTAGAGCCAGCACTTGTCGCCAATGCGCTCAGGGCGCTCGCCACGGAGACCAACACCAATGACGTGGGTGCTTGAGTAGAAGAGACCCTTGCTGAGGTCGATGAGCTCCTTGTCGCCCATGGCCTCAACGAGCGCGTCAACAGCCATGGTGTTGACGAGCTTCTTGTAGTTGACTACTGTGCCGTCGTTCAAGTGTACCTTGTGGCCGTCGGCGTCGACCTTGTTGACCTTGGCGTGGTCGCCGTATTTTGTCTTGGACTCTGGCAGTGTCTTTGCGACAGCCTTCCAGATACCACCGGTACCGTCTCGTGCGGGGAAGCGGAAGGTAGCGTTGGGACCCCAGTTTCCTGCGGTCTTGTTGTGAATGATGTTGTTGATGACGCCCTTGACGTTGGGAGCAGCGACACGCTCTCCGAGCCATTGGCACTGCATCTTGGTGGTGGGAACAGCCCAGACCTTGAAGTTGTATGGCCTCATGAAGAGGTCGGCAATACCAACACCCATCTGACGCATGATCCACTCGTCAAAGTCCTTGGGCTTGGTGTTTGCCACGCGAGCCTCAAGTGCGGCGTCGATCAAACCGTCAACGCACTTGGCCTGGTCGTCCTTGTCCAGCATGGACAGGTTGTTCTGGAATGGGTAGGGGACCCATTGGCGCTTGCAGCGGACGTAGGAGACACGCTCGTGGGTGAACCAGTCGTCATCGTTGGGGAGGGCCTCGTCGATGCAGTCGTCGAAGTACTTGTAGTGGGAGAAGATGACATGGCCACCGACGTCGTAGAGCTGGGGCGGGGTTAGACAATGGCAGTCAATTGGCAGTGGAGATACTCACGAAGCCCTCTGGAGTGGTGTCGGTCGAAGCCAGCCCACCAGGTGTCTCGTTGGAGTCGACAATCAGCCATGAGGGGCCGTCCTGCGGTTGTTAGCACTTGCCCCGCCACTTGCAGGAGGTGTCTGTTGGACGTACAATCTGGTGCAGGCGCTTTGCTGCTCCGAGACCGGTCGGACCAGCACCGATAACGAGCACATCGACAGAACTGTGGCATTGTCAGGGCGTGCTCCCGAAGGATGCAAGGTGGGCAGGCGGTGAACATACATTTCTTCCTTGGCGGATCCCATCTTGCCTTGTAGTATTTCCTGAAAACTCGGAACTCGCTTCAAAGTCTGGCGGGCGTAGTTCAGCATGTACTCGGTGCGCGAGCAGTGCAACAGTAGTTATAGAGGAATGTGGAGCAGAGGCCAAACTCTTGGGGCGTGGTGGAGGAATATAGCTGGCGATAAACTAAGCACGCCAAGGGCGATACTGCTTTAAGCGGGTCCAGGGTACTGTACAGCTGGGGCCAGCCGCCGAAGGACTCGCCTGCTCGGCTGGGGGAGGGCTTGGAGCGCTTGTACAGGCCACGGCCAGAAAAGGGGCAAGCCGCCACGGGGACCGTCGATCTGGCAGAACATGGCTGCTCGTGGGCATCTTCATTGGCCGCTGTCTTCTGCGTATCATGACAGCCTCCCTTTTCACACCCCATATGTGCAACATGTTCATGGCTTCGAGGACCCGTTGTCGTTGCGCGCTGTGTCATCGTGTTCCACTGCACGTTCCCGCGGGTGGAGCCTCAATCTGGCTTGTTGCAACACCGCAGTGAAGCTTGACCGACTCTATCTCTGGGGGACTACAGCTTCAGATCAACGACGCATCGACTTGGTGTCGTGCTAGTGCGACCATGCAATCAAGCCTTGTGTGCGAAAGTACCTTTGTACGGCAGCGACAGCAGCATGCATTACCCCTATTGTGCGCCTCACCCTGCTACTTCAGCGACACGGCGTGGCTCCTGCAATGTAAACAATTTGCGCGTGGCAGCAGTATGGGCGCTGCGATGTGCATGAAGCTGTCACCTTTCCAGAGACATGTGGGACCGGTCGCTTCGGCCGCTCTCTGCAGGGAGAACTGTACGCGTACACACCTACACAAGCAATTGCTAAAAGGCGGCTCAAAATTTCGGCGCCATGGCTGGGGGAGGCTCGCAGCAGTCGTCGATTGCGCGTCCATCGAGGGCTCCACAGCAGATCAGTTTCACCTCATCGAGCATTGCAAAATCCCGCGCGGCCCTGGCAAATCTTCATCTTGCCTCATATCAGCTCTAGTACATAGTTGGCCGTTGCCCAGTGATAGCGCTCCTAAACCAGAACCCCCCCTGTGCGCCGGCTCTAGAAGGTCGTCAGGTTGATTTCCGCTCCGCCCCTCCCTTCCCTAGCGTCTCGAGGTATTATTACCGTCACTTTTACAAGTGCTCCCAACACTTCTGTCGTTCTTTATCTCCTCATTGCCTCTTGCCCCGAGTGCACCAAGTCACCTCGACCGTGTTCGTGTTGCCTGTGCCACGCTTGTCCCTGGACGCGCAAGACATCATCAGTCAGCAGCGCTAGCCCACTGCCACTGCTACTGCAACTGCAACTGCAACCACGCTTTCTCCAGCGCCACACCTCCTTTGACCTTCACCAACACCTCTACCGTCCCTCGTTAGCCACCACCCGCAGCCATGTCAGACGAGAAGATGAGATCCTCTGTAGAGGCGTCGCGCGACACAGCCCTGCCTGTGCTCCCGACTGTCAACCCAGAGGCGCAGAAGCCCCAGCCCGAGGCGCCATCTTTCCATCCTGCAGTATACATTGCGTAGGTCAGCTCAATCCCAATATGCACGACACGATGTACTGACAATGCCGCAGAACATGGATCACTCTCAGTTCCAGCACAATCGTCTTCAACAAGTACATCCTAGATACAGCCAAGTTCCGTACGTGTACTCTGCTGCTCCGCCGTAACGCCGCACTCTAACACCAGCACCAGACTTTCCCATTTTCCTCACAACATGGCATTTGGTATTTGCGACCGTCATGACCCAGATCCTCGCCCGCTTCACCACCGTCCTCGACTCGAGGAAAAAGGTGCCCATGACCGGACGCGTATACCTGCGAGCCATCGTTCCCATCGGTATCTTCTTCAGTATGAGCTTGATCTGCGGTAACCAGGCATACCTCTACCTGAGTGTGGCCTTTATCCAAATGCTCAAGGTACGTCAAGACCGGAGATAAACAATGTGGCAGCTACTGACCTCTGCAGGCTACTATGCCTGTCGCCGTCCTTCTCACCACCTGGGGTCTCGGAGTTGCGCCCGTCAACCTGAAGACGCTCGGAAACGTGTCCTTCATCGTTATTGGTGTCGTCATTGCCTCGATGGGAGAGATCCAATTCGTCATGGTCGGCTTCCTTTTCCAGTGCGCTGGTATCGTTTTCGAGGCTGTCCGTCTGGTCATGGTTCAGCGCCTGCTCAGCGGTGCCGATTTTAAGATGGACCCGCTCGTCTCCCTCTACTACTACGCCCCTGCTTGCGCTGTCATCAACGGATTCATTTTGCTCTTCACCGAGCTTCCCCAGATGACCATGGCTGATGTGGACCGTGTCGGTCTTATGACTCTGCTGGCCAACGCATCTGTTGCTTTCCTGCTCAACGTCTCGGTCGTTTTCTTGGTATGTTGCACATTGTTCATTTGCCATGCATCTACTTACGTGTTTCCAGATTGGCAAGACCTCCTCGCTCGTCCTTACCCTCTCCGGTGTACTCAAGGACATCCTCCTTGTCTTTGCCTCCATGTTCCTCTTCAAGGACCCCGTCACCCCTCTCCAGGCTTTCGGTTACGCTATTGCGCTTGGTGGTCTTGTGTACTACAAGCTCGGCGGAGAGAAGTTGAAGGAGTACCTCGGCCAGGGCAGCATGAAGTGGCAGGAGTTTGGCCACACCAGGCCCGTTCTCCGCAAGTTGATGGTCTTCGCCGCTGTTGTCATCGGCATGTTCCTCGTTCTTGGCTCTCTCGGACCCCGTTACGCTCCCGACTCGACCAACCAGGTCTACAACGGTATCGGCAAGCTCATCGGCGACAAGGCTGTATAAGAACTCGGCCTTCCACGACGAGTCGATGCCAGTTTCTAGCTCAGAGCATACGCACTCGCAGTACGCTCGGCTGCCCTTGATTTCCTTCCCCCTTGTCGTTTTATCTTTAGCTTGGAGCGGATTTGGAGTGTACGGTGACCGGTGTTTATACGCATAGACGAGCAGGAACTTCTCATGCTGACGGAGCCTTCTTTGAGACTTTTTGTGGTTCGGTACGCGACAGTGGTGTCTACCGCATGTCAGGGAGCAATGACAGGGAATGATTAAGTAACACGTTTTTGACACATAGATCTTGCAGGCATTCACAGAAACTGCGAGCGAAAGTAAACACTTCTAGCTACATAATGGTAATGCTTGCGAGCAGCCTCTTCAACTGTGTCTTGTTGTGTCGTGGTGTTGTATCTGATGTGTATGTGGCTTTGAAGACCAACGGGGGTCCCCAGCTTGAAACGGGTGTCGTTTGTTGGGATACGAGCATGCAATAATGGAAACACGAAGATGCACCACAAATATCACATGCGATGTTCTAAATATTGTAGACTAAGCGGCATGCATGCTGGGCCACTTCGCTCCTGCCGGGTGGAGTTTTTCGAGTTCTCGCTTCGCACGGGCCACACCACGCCAAGGAGCTCTTTCCTGCCAAATTCGAGTTCACGAACTTCGCTCTCTCCCTCAGTCGTTACTAACCCACAGCACAACACGCTCAAAATCAGTCAAGATGGGAATCGACCTCGACCGCCACCATGTTCGAGACGGGCACCGCAGTATGTGATCCCCCGTCGAGTCGGCGCAGCAATGCGCTGGCGACAGCTGTCTTTTAGACGCAACATGAAGCCTTCGAGAGAAGAGAGATTGACGAGTATACAGAGGTCCCTAAGTCCACCAACCCCTACGTCAGGCTGTTGGTGCGCCTGTACAAGTTCCTGGCTCGTAAGTACTCCAACTGAAAATGCGCACGTTGTTTGTGCTAACAGCGGACAGGCCGTACCGATGCCAACTTCAACAAGACCGTTCTGCGACGCCTCATGATGTCGAAGACCAACCGTCCCGTAAGACGATCGATCGCACGAAGCCTGCAGAACAGTACCACTAACACTCCGTAGCCGGTCTCCGTCTCCAAGATCGTCGCCAACGCTGCCAACAAGCACTCCGCCAAGGAGCACGAGGGCAAGACCGTCGTTGTCGTACGTCAAGTGAAGAAACCTACAACGAAGAACAATGGCTAACATACGGTCAGGTCGGTACCGTCACTGACGACAACCGCATGCTCGAGGTCCCCAAGCTCTCCGTTGCGGCTCTCCGCTTCACCGCCTCTGCCCGCGCCCGCATCGAGAAGGCCGGTGGTGAGTGCCTTACCATCGACGAGGTCGCTACCCGTTTCCCCACTGGATCCAACACCCTCCTTCTCCGTGGACCCAAGAACGCCCGTGAGGCCTTCAAGCACTTCGGCTTCGGTCCCCACTCCCACAAGAAGCCTTACGTCGAGAGCAAGGGTCGCAAGTTCGAGCGTGCCCGTGGACGCAGAAGGTCGCGTGGTTTCAAGGTTTAAGCGTGTGCTGGAAGCACTCTGGTTTCTCTGGGTTGGCGTGGTCATGGTCATGGGAATTCACTTATGAGGCGCGCGTCATGACTGGCAAGGGCTCTTCGAAAGCCTGCAAAAAGATACTCAATGCTCAACATGAAATGAAAGCATACAGATGGGCTCTTCCGAGCTCATGGTTAAATCATGAACCACATGTCCACATATTGCTCTGGTGAACGTGCACGTCATTTTCGTTCAAAAATACCACTTTCATGCGCAATCCCACTTGCAGGACTATTTGTCTGCAACAGGAAATTCTGTATACGACTGCTGGACGACGAAGTTTTTCGCGTGCTAATTTTTCTGCGGCTCCCCCACATCCAACCAACCATCGCGCTAACCACTCTCACCCACGTAATACCCCAACTAGTCACTGCAGCACTTGAACGACTTGACTTCAACACGAACACTGACAAGATGGCCGACAATCGAAAAGTAGGCGTACTGGGCGGTGGCCAATTGGGCCGCATGCTGATCGAAGCCGCAAATCGGTTAAATATACAAGTCAATGTCCTGGATGTCGCGGGATCGCCAGCAAAGCAGATATCAACGCATGACGGCCACATTGAGGGATCTTTCAAAGATGCAGCGGCTGTCAAGAAACTCGCTGAATCATCCGATGTCGTTACTGTCGAGATTGAGCACGTGGATACCCATATGCTAGAAGAGGTATCTGGACAAGTCGTTGTTGAACCTAGCTGGAAAACACTGCGGACCATCAAAGACAAATACGCACAGAAGCAGTACCTGAAAGAGCATGGAGTTGACGTTGCGGACAGCATCGATCTGGAGGGAAAAGGTGTTGCGGGGTTGAAAGAGGTGGGTGCATCATATGGTTATCCCTTCATGCTCAAGAGTAAGACGGAGGCGTACGACGGCAAAGGAAACTTTGTGGTGAAGACTGAGGCGGATGTTGACGCTGCATTCGAGGCCTTAGGAAAGAGGCCACTATATGCCGAACGATGGGCAGACTTCAGGATGGAACTCGCAGTCATGGTTGTCAAGACGAAGGACGGCGTACTCACATTCCCTACAGTTGAGACTGTACACGAAGATAGCATTTGCAAGCTTACATATGCGCCACCACGAAACGTAGCAGAGGAGGCCGCACAAAGAGCCCAAGAACTTGCCAAGAAGGCTATCGGTGCTTTCGAAGGAAAGGGAGTCTTCGGCGTCGAGATGTTCCTGCTCAAAGACGACAGCCTACTCATCAACGAGATCGCACCCCGTCCGCACAACTCAGGCCATTACACCATTGAAGCCTGCCCCATCTCTCAGTACGATGCACACTTGCGAGCTATTCTTGATCTGCCCATCTCCCAGTCCAGTCTCCGCCTCCGCGAACCCTCAATCATGCTTAACATCCTCGGCGGCAAGACTCCAGACTCCCATGTTCAGGTCGCAAAGAAAGCTCTTGAGTCACCAAATGCATCGATTCATCTCTATGGTAAAGGCGATGCACGTCCCGGACGTAAGATGGGTCACATCACCATCACAGCGCCCACACTCGCAGCCGCAGAACGCGAGATCCAGCCACTCGTTGACTTCGTCGACAACCAAAAAGGCAAGAATGTCGAATCGCGCAGTTCTGAAAGCTCCAAAGAAGATCCGCTCGTTGCTGTTATCATGGGCTCAGATTCTGACCTCCCTGTCCTCCGCGCCGGTCTGGAGATCCTCACCAAGCTGCAAATTCCCTTCACAACACGCATCACCAGCGCTCACCGAACACCCGACTGGCTACGAGAGTTTTCCAAGACCGCTTCTCAGACCTCTCTGAAAGTGATCATCGGCGCAGCGGGCGGTGCAGCCCATCTGCCTGGTATGTGTGCGTCGTGGACTACACTTCCAGTCATTGGACTTCCTGTCAAGGCGAGTGTGATGGATGGCTGGGACAGTCTTGTCAGCATGACCCAGATGCCGCGCGGTGAGCCTGTTGCTACGGTCGGTATCAACAACTCGACCAATGCTGCGCTGCTTGCTGTTCGTATCCTTGGTGCTGAGGACAAGACGATCCGCGAGAGGCTGAGGGTCTGGATGGAGGGTAACGAGAAGGAGGTTATGCGCAAAGACAAGGCCCTGCTAGAGGATGGCTGGGAGGCATACTTGAAGGGTATGGGCAAATAGATGCGGATGGAAGTGTATTGAGTATATACTTTATCTTCACCTCTGGTGGGTGCGACACGTAGGTAGTAGAATGCTCTACCCTCGCCTGGAAGAGATTCAATTTCTTCCACTCAGGTAGTAGGTACAACAAATGTGCGATTTTATGAAATGCTTTGAACTCAAGCTCTTCACCCATGATGCTAATCAGCATTGCTGACCTCCAGAGGCAGAAACAGACATTATCAAACCCGATATCATTTTTGTAAAAGCGTAATATGAATTTGATATGACGAATGAAGCCTAAGGTGGAGGAATAGAGAAGTTTGTATCTACCTCCTCCAAGGAAGAAGAACAAGACATGTTGTAGGGTTGTGGTTGTTTTGGAGTCTCGGATCTTACTCTCCCTATGACTACGAGGTGTTTCCCCTAAGCTTATAGCAAATCACAACGCTGAATGTGTTGGGCGTTTCAAAGATTTCTCGTGCCTGCCTTCGAGATACAGCACCTTCATATCTTTCCATCAGGCTTCTCATCTAGGACTCTCCCTTCTTGTACCCCTTGATCAGCATTCTTCCAATAAACGACCATCCCATTCAAGGCGTTTCCATGCTTCTCGAACTCTCTCAATGCCACCTTCTCCCTACTTTCCGTCCATTTCTTGCCTACCTCGTTACACTCCTCCAACCGTTCCTTCTTCTCCTTTGTTTGCGCGTAAACACTGTAATCATCTAGTATCTCATTACCGACATACAAGACCGGATCTTTAGATTTGAGGAAGACTGGTAACAGAAGGAACCAATCTACAAAAGGCGAGTAGACGAAGGATTGAGAGGTGATGCGGGACTGAAGGTCGGATTCGAGGACTGTAATGGAGAGCAAAGAGAGGAATTCAACGTCGAGGGGTGTGAAGGCTGGGTCTTGGGCGAAGCATCCCAACTTGGTGTCCTCATTGTCGTCTTTGACTGCTCTGATATTAGTTGTTCTGCATAGAGATAGAGAAGGGTAGAGTGACAATAACATACGCCTCTCAACTACAGCAACAAACAATACAAGCTGCCACAGACTTCTCCACCGATGTGCCCAGTCCCTACTGAAACTGCCGATGCCTATGCATGCCGCCTTCTCGACTCCCCACGCACTATCTCCACCACTCTTCTCCAGGATTTCTTTAACTTGCTTAGCAAGTAAAGTGTCTTCCCATCGATCTTGAAGAGTGCGAAAGTCCTCGAGAAGCTTCTCAGCCGTCAAACCCTCGACAGTTCGAGTCGGTAAAGATCCAGCATCTATCTCTTTCTTCCCCTTGTCCTTGAGCGAAACACTAGCCAGCCCATGAGTGATCACGGTCCAACCATCCTCACTCTGAACCTCCTTCCTCTTCACACGCCCCTTGCATTTTTTGCTCATTCCTTCTCTTCACTTCTTCGGGCTCCACTCAAAAATCAGTCTTGGCTGGAAAACAAGGCGCATATTCTCGAACCAGAAGAGTAGCAAAATCCGAAGTGACGTACAGAAATCACCGATCGTCACGTCGTCGAGTTAAGGTGCGGCTTGCATGGGCGCGTAGAAGCGGTGGCCAAAGTGCTGATGGCAATGACGGGAAGGATGGAAGGGGACCACCTGGGCGCGTAGAAAATCATCGTGAGAGGACAAGGGTCTGGTTTTAGTGGGGAAAGGGAGGCTCGGAACGGGATTTCCGACGCGGAATGGCGAAAAGGGTCCTTGTAGGGCCCGCAAACTATTGCAAAGGCCATCTGGAAAGCGTGCCTGTTGCAAACAGGTCTACGATTTGGCCTCACCTCAAGCCACCCGCTGTTATCTGGATCACGCATGTAGATCAGGCCTCCTGGTGGCGGCTTACAGAAGCAGACATCTTTGGTATGGGCATTAGCAAGCATGACGGCACGTTGCTGACGCTGAGTGAGCGATGAGTGGAACAGAATACGCTGTAATAGCGAATAGTATTGGACGTGCAGTTTGTGTGCACCATGCTGCATGGTGAGGTGTTATGTGCGCAAAGAAAGATCGTCGTAGCTGCTAAGCAACTCGTTCGTCCACCTCCATATGCGCAGACCAAAAACACCGCGTACGCTCCAAGTGGAGATCGTCGCTTCAGAAGAGACTGGATATCTTTCGCGCCTAACGCCATGCCCTTAACAAAATCATATTAACAAATAAATGATATAATCGTGGCTTAGACAACCCAAGTTATCCACGAGGCAGCTGCAAGCATTGCCGGTACCGCTATCGATGCGTAACTGTTGACAACCATATTGTGTGGCGCCGGCGATGAAGTTGTCGCATATACGATTTGGAAACCAATGCGCTGGTCTGGCGTTGTTGTGTTGCGGCAGTTGGTCTCGTTGACCTCAGGAACGTCCTCTGGTTCGGCGAAAGTGATGTCGGCGCACTGTTGAACTATGTTAGTGACTGTATCTTCGTTGTTCTCGGACGCTGTTACTCACGTTGTAGAGGGCAGCACCATGTTGCGCAAGCTCGATAACCTGAATAGTCGCATTGTCGCCGACTTGAGGTGTGTAGTTTGCGGGTAATGGTACTTGTGGCAGGCAGAACTGGCCTGGGTATTGCTGGTTCGAAGGTCCTTGAATTTGGAACACTGGCAACATCGTATGCGAGTAGTTCAGAGGCTCATTGCCGTAGCCCATGTTGATGTAGAACATGGCAAGCGAATGGCCAGGGAACCATCCAGGCTGAATCGAGACGGCGCCACCCTTCAACGGCCACTTTGTGCGGTTTTGTGACATTGGCATGCCACCACCTGTGAATGATATTAGCTATTGTCTCATGCGCGAGATAACCGGGCTGAGCAACGTACATGGGTACATCCATTGCATGCCGTATGGGAATCCATATGTGCCGGTGTCATTGTGGTAGTTGATACCGAGCGACCCATCCGGAATAGATGGGTCAGTGTCGGACTTGGTTCCGTTGGTGTGGATGTTGTTTCCTCTCCATGGTGGGTAGACGATAACGGTATGTGCAGCGGCGAGCGACCAAGTAGCGGCCACGAAAACGAGCTCGGTAAAACGAAACATTGTGGCGGTACGGTTCGGAAAGCAAGGACTCTTGCGGGGATCCTTCTCTTTTTCAATGTAGTGACCCGTCAGCTTAAGGGTGCACGATTTGATGGTAGTCGACGCAGAACGGGCAGCGTGCGGTGGCGGGGGGCATCAGCACTTATGGATTACAGGACTTGGCCTCGACTGCCTCGTGCGACCATGCCATTGCTAGCGAAAGGGACGCTTCAGGCGAATGAGCAGTGCAAAACGGGTCCGCCAGCATGGCCAGCCTTTGCATGTCAGCCCTCGAAGCATTGAGTAGGCAGCGAATAGGCACGGAGCTAGCATATTGACTCTACAGGGGCCAGCGACCACTGAGCTTCGCGTATGCACGTATTGTCGGGCGGGAGGGAACGCCTCTAGAGAGGCGGAGCGAATAGCGTCCGAGATGGCCATGCACAGGGCTTCTCTGATTTGCGGAAGCGTGTGATGGCTTTGCAGACCCTCGGCAGTCCGGCCAGGCACCTCTAAGCGCCCAACTACTCCATAATCCACATGCCCATCACAAGCAGCGAGGAAGCCTTCCGGATTGAAGAAAAACCGGCATCCCGCGCGACTCGGCCGTGATAGTGTGACCACGGCGTGATATAGAGTGTCGAGCCGCCACAGCTAGGTATCTCTGTTTGTAAGAGAAAGAAGTGCAAAACGCGAGCAATCGTGGGCACAGTCAGCTTGCCGCCGTTGGCCCCCAACGAACGACGATCAACGACTTTGCCGCAATATAATTCCCAGCCGTCATGTATGCACATGTTTCTATCCTCATATCGCTGCATGATGGCTGCAGTGCGATAGCTGGGGAAGGGTTGTGTGTTGCCAACGCTGATTGGGCGCTTGTTTCTTCGCCCCTGGTCGCTTGGTTGTGCCCACTGCACCGGGACGAACGAAGGCCTCATATTCGACTATTTGCTTGAACCACGCTCCTTCTGGATCCGCATCGTGCCCAAAGTACCAGTGCACCATTCACGCAGCGCGATGCATCCTCGGAATCGCTGCTAGTGCCTGCCAGGACGGCGCGAGGCACCACATCCATACTCCCCTTGCTGGATGCAGAGAAGGAATATCTTTGCGCGCTGCGGCTAGCAGTGAACAAGCATTGCTTTAGCCAAGCGCCATGAGATTGTAGATCGTGTTGGATGCAGGGTACACGAATTCGTTGATTCTGGTACCCTGGGTAGCGGTTGCAACGGTTGCGCTTGAGGTACAGTAATCACGGTTGATACTGTAGTCGTTGTGGGCGCCTTCTATGAGCACTGAGAGACTATGGCCGCCTTTCTGTAATAGGACTTACGTCCTTCCACATCAATCAAGTCATGCTTTCCGCAATGACAGCGGTATACAGCATTTACCTGGACTTTTTCGTTCCTCTTGTTACCAACATTACCAACAGCACTGCGTCGACATTCTTCGATGACCGCAGCGTCTATCCAACATTGTTACTCTGCTCGGCTCTAACCTTTATCAACACCCCAACACCACAGCTGCCAGCATGACGTCGCTCATCCGAGCGCGGAAAAGAAAAGAAGCCCATAACCAGATACATTTGTCTCGTGACAAAGGCAAGATTCGCGTTATTGAGCGATCAGCAGAGGGACATTCCAGCCCCTCCACGAAGAACCTACAGGGGCGCAACAGTACCCCTGCTAGCCGTACCTTTACTACACTTCGTCGGGGAAGCGTCAAGATTTTCTCCATCTTCCGCAATAGCAAGAGTATGTCATGTACGTCTGTCCTGTACATTGTGGCTTCTACTAATGGCAGTAACAGGTTCCGCTCCAAGCTCTGGGGAGGCCACATCTGGTAGTACCGGGTCAACAGCGAACAAATCAAAAAACGTACCACGTGTCGATACCGTCAAATCCTACTCCAATTCTCCTCTACAATGTCCTATAGTTCCCGATGTACCTACGACTCTACCAACTCTCTCCCTCGATCCTGAATCTTCATCCTTACTTCAACTCACTAATGCCGCCGTCTTCGATGGCGAGTCAGAGCCTATACCAAGAGCTCGCACGCCGCCCTCTGCGCCCATGTCGACAAGTTGGTCATCGCCAAACCTCTCATGGCAACTCACTTCTAAGCTTTCCAACGCCCTTTTGAAGAACGATACGGTAGTACATCGACCCAAGTTAAGCTCCCGCCCAACAGTCAAAGCCGACCAGTTCAACCAACCAAGCGATGACCAGCAAACTGCAACCTCGCCCAAAAGCCCCATGTCCGAGGTGCCTTCTCTTCCATCAAGCGTTCTCAGTCCTGCCAGTAGCAACGCACCCTTAAGTCAGTCGACTGCACCAACGTCGTTGGTATCATCGGGTGCGCCGCTGTCTGCCGAAACGCTATATCGAACCCAGAACGGTCGTCATATAACTGACAACTCACCTGCGCTCTTTTGTGAGCCCACTCCAGAACACATGCCTCCCCGGTTCCTCGTCTTCCCACGTCAAGATGCACCACGGCTATGTGAGCCTTCCATTGCTACCATCGAGCATGCCGCAGCGGCAAAAACCTTTTTCGAGTCTCATTTCAATCAGCTCCTCGGAACCAAGGTCGCGCCACGATCCATGCGGCGCCGCCAAATGGAGCGCAAGCTCTTCGCTATGGCCATACCCAACGAGGAGCGTCATTGCAAAAGACGAGAATAGTACCTCGCAGAGACAAACCATCTGCGCCAAACACGCATCATGAAGTCCAATACACTAGCGCGTCGGGCAATGAAGGGTGTACATGTTTCCAATTATGACATCATAAGAGTACTCGGAAAGGGTAGCTTTGGTGTCGTTCGCCTCGTGCGCGAGAAGAGCGACAATTGCGGCACTCTAAGGGGGAGCAGCTGCAGTGTAGGATATCTTGATGGCTCGTTGACACCAAGAAATGATAGGTCCTCCCCAACAACCCACAGACAAAAGCAAGTCTTCGCCATGAAGGTCATCAGGAAGCCGGATATGCTTCGCAACAGTCAAGAGGGACACTTGCGGGCAGAACGAGACTTTTTAGTCGCTTCTGAAAACTCAAGATGGGTGGTACCTCTCATCTCTGCTTTCCAAGATAACAACAATCTCTATCTTGTCATGGAGTACATGGTGGGTGGCGATTTTCTGGGCCTACTTCTTCGCGAAGACATCTTAGACGAGAATGTTGCCAAGTGGTATCTTGCGGAGATGATATTGTGCATTGAGGAAGCACACAAGATGAATTGGATTCATCGCGATGTCAAGCCTGACAACTTCCTCATCACATCATCTGGTCATCTCAAAATCTCCGACTTTGGCCTCGCTTTCGATGGACACTGGGCTCATAATCAGACGTACTATAACGAACAACGGTACGGCCTACTCCGTAATCTGGATCTGCATATCAAAGGCGATGTACAAGATATTGAAGAGGAAAAGAGCCGACAAGATGCTCGCAAAACCCTCGAACCTGTCAATGGAGGTGGCGCGGCGCGCGGCCGTTACCAGACCAGACAAGACTCAGGCAATGGACCCATAATCGACTGGTTGAATCGAGAGCAAAGGCGTGAATTCGCAAAGAGCGTCGTCGGAACAAGTCAATACATGGCACCAGAGGTAATACGAGGTGAAAGTTACGATGGTCGCTGTGACTGGTGGAGCATCGGTATCATACTATACGAGGTATGTGGCGGTGACAAGGCAGATGCAACTTCACTGACGAAGCCAGTGTCTCTACGGGTGCACACCTTTCTTTTGCGACAATCGCCAAGCCACGAAAGCGCGCATACTGGTGAGCCAGGCTTCGACACCTCGTTTTTTGGTACTGATTTTACAGGACCACACGCGGTGGCTGCGATTCCCACCTGAGCAGCGATATGCTCGTCCCAATATCGACCGCGTACCACTGATGCCAGTGTCACGCAATGCAATCGATCTAATGATGCGATTGCTCGACGAGAGACAAGATCGACTCTCAGCTAAGCGATACCGTGAGAATGACTGGGTCCTCCGTGACAAAGCTGCCGGTGCGCGCCGCAACCGGAACATCAACACCACTGGTCATATCGTTTACCCAAATGATGCCGAAGACATCAAATCGCATCCGTTCTTTCGCAACATCCAGTGGTCACAACTGCATCAGACTCGTCCTCCATTTGTACCTCGTGTTCATGGCGGCCAGCCAATTACCAAGTACTTCGATGATGAGGCTGAGATCATGAGCGCTTCTGATCATCTCGACTCTTCAAGCTACGAGGCTGTCGGAGAATTGTTAGTTTCCAATTTAGCAGACCGTGTTGGCGAAAACGAGACCACGCCCTTGGTCCAGCCGGCAACCCAGCAAAACAGTATCGCTAAACCCACCCAGGCTTTATTTGCCAAATCGTTGCAAGAAATGAAGAGGCGTAAGCGAGAGAAGAAGAGGCCTCGTGACAAACTTCTCCGAGATCCAGACGTTGGCCGTACCGTTTTGGAGATCAGGAAGAAGGGTGCTTTTGTGGGCTACACGTACCGTAGGCCTAGATTTTCGCTGCAAGACTTGGAGGACAAGATCGCTATTACGAGACCTCACATCACCCGGGCTGGGTTGGTGGCTGCGAGTGCTTAGTACTGTAGATACCTCTTGTCTCGTGCATAATGCGTGGGATCTATTCAATCCGAGATTGGTCAATCTTTTAAAATCATCGATGTGCTCTTTCATCCCGCAATGGCTTTACCCAGTTCATTTGTATACTCGCTTCTCTGCAACAGCTAATATGCACAACCTCTCATTCTCAATTATGTTAGTCCCCTCACTCGATGTACAGGCGGGATGTATGTCTTATTTATCTACTCCACAAGCAATCTTTTCAGCAGCGTAACTCTATTGGAAGATAGTCCGGTGGGCTTGTCAGGTCAGCTACCTGATGTTGAGATTTATGGGGATGGCATGATTCCGGTGGTAGTGATCAGAAAACATGACTTGGGTGATATAATGGATTGAAGCTGATTTAGGAAGTACGGACTGTTCATGCTTCAGACAAAGAAGAAATTCTTCTTCATTAATTCACTCAGTATCATCAACTATCCCGTCTTCTTCCTTTCCACCATCTGTTTACATTCGTTGCACCCATCCGACGTTCCGAACTTCTCCTCGTGTTCTTAAGATACCGTCCGAACACTGCATATAGAACCCCTACTATGACAAGAAACGCCCCGACACCCATCGATACACCTAGCCCAATTGATGCCGCTATGCTAAGACCAGGTTTAGGTTGCGATGGAGTGGAAAATTCAGCAGTTGTAGGTGATGCTGAATTGAATGAAGATGGTGCGATAGTCGTCTGAGTAGATCTCAAGGAAGTATAAGCGCTCGATAACACTGCCGACTTCTCTTCATCGTCAGCATAAGTGGTGGCTGTTGTCAGCACGACTACCATCAAGGAAGACGTGGGGTTAGGTAGCGAGATGTCGAATGATGTTAGAAGCGCGCTCTCTGTTGTCGTTTCTGACACTTCAGCCGGCTGAGTCAGAACCTCTGGAGAAGTCTTCTCTTCGACTGTACTGGTTATTACTTGTATAGTGGTAGTAAAAGTAGTTGCAGAGTCCATCGATATAACTATTGGCGTATCACCACCAGTCTTTGTGGACGTGGACATCGCCCCGAAGAGAGCTCGCTAGAACGAGATATGGTGCCTGTGTGAACGATGGTGAATGCGATGGAACAGTGATAGCATTGTGTAGGACTAAGGAGATAGAGTAGTGACAGAACATTGTCGTGCTTGCTCCGAAAACCAAATGCAATTCATCTGCGTGTTACGATAGTGTGGCAGACGAGTGTGTTGGCATAAGTTTGTTAGGATCGCGTGATGGTGGACCGTTTGCTTCTTGGAATCTGCATTGCGCATTGCGCATTACGAATGTAAATGTGATACTATCGCGCGAGAGATGAACATTGACGTCTGTAAATCGTAGCTAGACCTCTTGTAGTAGCTTGCAACAATTTCATATGTATTTTTTTACCCAATCAAACTCGGGGCTCAAAGGTGTTTTTAGTAAGGGCGCTGTCTCGGTGTCTGGAGAACCGACAATCACCGAACTCGCTCGCAACCACCATCAACATCCGAAGACTTTATCATTGGTTTTTCTTCCAAGCTATTTTTCTATCCGTACCCCGTAATCATAACAAATTTACACTATGTCGGCCTCAAATGATGTCGCAAGTTTGGCAACCCCACCATCATGCATCGCAGACTTTTGTCTGATTCCGCTCGGCACTCCCACAGCATCTGTATCCAAAGAGGTGGCGGAAGTGCAGCGGGTTCTCAAGAGGAGCGGATTAACTTATTCCATGCATTCTGCGGGAACGACGGTTGGTATGACTCTTCACACCCCCTTCTACGTCGTGTATGCTTTCGCGTCCGAGCCAACTCCCTTCTCGGCCGGTATGCGGGCGTGGTGGCTTGGAGGGGTATATGGAATATTCTTGAATGCATATACTAATTGGGACTAGAGGGCTCATGGGACGACGTTATGCGGGTCATTGGACAATGCCATGCTATGCTGCACCAGAATGGCATTGTGAGGATCCAGAGTGATATCAGGGTGGGGAGCAGGACGGACAAAAAGCAGGGATTCAAGGATAAAGTTGAGGCAGTGGAGAAGCTGCTCAAGGAGGACCAAGGTGCAGCGTTGTAATGGGCCGAGTATCATGTCGCGCGTGATAGGGAGGAGTGAGGTGTCTCAGTTGCCATGTCATCCACGTGTACCACCCTTGACGATAGCGACAACGGATGCGCATGAAAACAAATTTCACGACCACAGATGATGTACGCGCGCCAACGGCAGATCTGCCAGCCAAAGCTCGGATGATGATTCAAACAAGCAGCCTCTGCTATTATTGGCTACATTCGGCTCGACGTTGCGGGTATGCTGGGGTAGCTGGGCTATAGCGATAATGGGGAAATTAGTCGACGACAGCTAAACGACAGCGGATAGAAGCATATTATGTTGACATGTGGCTAGGCGTAGGGCTTCTTGAAACTGTCGATCGAGAATGTAGACGTCGCAGCGAATCAACGGCCATGGGAAGCTAGTCTGTAACGCATACTTGCATACAACGGCTCCAGGCTCTTCACCGCCAGTCGTCGTGTCCAGGTAGGCTAAGCCGATCTGAGGGTGGGTGGTGGAAAGCGCACGGCCGAAGTGCGGTTGTGTAAAAAGTTGGCGGCAGGCGAGAAGCATCATCCTTGACGTCGGTACCTTTCACCCGGAAAATCCCCTCGAGTGCCGCATGTGCCTCTCCCACTCTCACTCCACCACGAGTGCAGCCATACAATACCGCGCCCACACCGCCCGAAATATTCACTGCCCACCTGTTTCCCCACCCATTCCCTCGCAAATACGCCCCAACCCCTCTGCAATCGTGCCTCGTGTGATCGCATGGCGAATGCACGCGACAGCAGCATCATCTGCCAATCCCCACCACCACCCGCGCGGTAACGACGTCGACGCTCCACGCACCGCTCACTGAGCGCACCAACCCATCACCATGGCCTTCAACTTCAACTGGTCGCCGCTCATTGCCGACACGTCGAGGGCGCGCGACATGCTCACCACCGCTCTGAACAAATCCCCCAAGCCGCCCATCATCGTCGACGACATCATCGTCACCGAGCTGAATCTCGGCACCACCCCGCCGGAGCTCGAGATACTAGAGATTGGCGACTTGGCCGAGGACAGGTTCAGGGGCATCTTCAAGATGTCCTATGCCGGCGACGCGTTCCTGACGCTGAAAACAAAAGTTCAGGCAAACCCGTTGAAGACGTATCTCTCCAACAAGCCAGACTTTGCTTCACCACAGCCACTGGCAGCATCGTCCGGCTTGACTATACCATTGCAAATTACTCTGTCCAACATCCGCCTCTCCGGCTTTGTCATCCTGGTCTTCTCCAAACAAAAGGGCTTGACGCTGGTCTTCAGGAACGACCCTTTGGAGTCGCTCAAGGTCTCTTCGACATTTGATTCCATCCCATTCGTGCGTGACTACCTGCAGAAGGAGATTGAAGGGCAATTGCGTGTCTTATTCATGGAGGACTTGCCGGCTATCATTCATAGGCTATCACTACGCATGCTGTCGCCCGAGTACCAAGAGATCGAGACAGAAGAGCGACTGGAAGGTGCTAACGATACAACCGCAGCCATCGACCCTCTCGCATCGCCACCACAAGATGCTGTCGATGCCTTCGGGAACCCATTAGACGAAGCCCAAATTTCCGCCTTGTCGCTCGACTCTGGCGAAATCCACGCCTCTTTCTCGCAGAAGAATATCCTCCGCCTAGCCGCCTTGTCCGAATCGCAACGAACGCTATCCCTCTTCACACCCGGCATACGCGATGCCGTCTTCAGAGCATGGGCAGGTCACCCAGACAGACCCGAGTCTGGTGCTGCTACGCCAGCACTCACACAAGGCAGCCTATCGAGGATACAGTCGACCTTTGGCAGCCTCAAGTCTGGCGCGTCGTCGGTTGCGTCCGGCTCAACAGGCAATGATACACACAGCTCACGACCTACCATGGCATCGGCATACTCGACTCCTTCGGGGCTCAGTCTTGGCTCAAGTCGCTCTCGCACTGGTGGCATGCGGAAACGAAAGAAGCGTGTTGTTGATCTGCGCAAGAAGGAGGACGTTGATTCTGGCGTGTCAACTGGAGCCAATACACCATTACCAAGTGCGTACGCATCTGAGACGTCAAGCGTCATCCCCGAAGAGAGGGAAGCAGAGGAAGAATTGGCTACCCCACCAAGGAGCCCCGCACAACCTGGCATGCGCTTCGAGAGCCGGCGTGGCAGTCTGGACATTGGTACACCGAAGCGGATACCTGAAGAGCCGCCTGCTTTCGGCCCTCTTCTTGCCCCTGCACCAGATCTTTCAGATGCACCCAAGCCACCCAAGCCCACCAAATCGAAGCAAACCACCCCACCAGCCGCTCACCTCGAAGACCCATTCATATCCCACTCATCTTCCAGACGCCCCCCGATTTCGCGTAATAAGTTACGGCAAGCACAGCAGTCCACCTCGCCACTCCTACGCTCCCTGTCGTTTGACAAGGTCTCCTCGCTCTCAGCTCTATGCTCGCCACCGCGCACTTCTTCACCACCCAACGCCGACGTCATGGCCAGCTCCGGTGGCATCCTTGAACAAGCCTGGATGACAAAGATGGCGCAGGAGATTGCGAGAAAGGTTCAAGAGGAAAAGGACCGGTCGTCTCGCCGGCCTTCGCACGCCAGGACGAAGACTGCGCCCACAGGAGGCTTCTGGCAGAACGATGACGAGATTGAGGCACCGCCTGCTTACGTCGCGTAAGCTTGATGAAATTATGAGCGATGAAGTTTCCATGACGAAGCACCGTTTAGTTCTTGCATGTTGTTTGTCCATCATTTGTTGTTTCTTTTGTTTCTGCTTCTTAGCATTGGCGTATCAGGATAGGGAAAAGCTCGTTGCATCGGATCAACTTGAGTAAGATTGCTTGCATATATTCGTTTTTGCATCAAGGAAGGGGCGCACGCGATGCTATCGCTGCATTACATAACAGACCACTAATCTCCTTGCTATCGCGATGACGGTCATGTCGTCGCGAAGAGTACATATTGAAATACCACTACTCACACTACAATACCGCCATGCTGCGTGATGCTAACCACTATCCATGGAACGTTGTGGCTATCGTGATTTTGCTTCTGTCTCCAGCACAGTATTCTATCTCACAACCACCGTATCCCGTATCAAGTAATTAAGATATGTTCAGGCTCAACGAAATGGGTGGATTTATGATTTATGTATACACTTGAGTACAGGATATCAAGGCCCTGGCACAGGGATAGCGCCAATTTGAACCATTAGCCCAAAAATATCCGGCTGTCCCCTCTCCTCCACGATCTTACCGTTTTCAAAACGGTAGATGTTGAGAGCAGTCATACATATCTCCTTTCCAGAGGCGGGGACACCCATGAAAGGACCCTGGTGCGTGCCCCGAGTTTCAAAACGTGCAACTATCTTACCACCTTCGCATACAGTTTCTTGTAGTGTCCAGTTAATATCTGGGAATGCGCTACGCATCATCCCGAGAATTCTGAGATAGCCGTCTAAACCTTGGAGGGGTTCAGGACCGAATGGTACATGGAAGATAGACGAGTCAGTTCATCCAACAGCGATGTAGATGACAATTCGGACGTGAGTGATTAGCAATTGCTTGCAGACTTATTACTCACCCGGCTACTTGCTTTAATCGCCTACCAATTCATTACCACCGGGTGTTTTTAAGGATTCCACAAGGTTATCCCTATAGTGTCACCTACTGCCGCACCAAGCCGAGTAGAGCCGTATTCTGCTGAGTGCAACATCCGGTGATGACGAGATCTTCCAAAGCCGGTTCACGTCGTTCTAGGATCATCTTGTTCTATTGCAATGGCGATAGTATGTCACATAGGTTGAGATTTGTACACAATGTTGTTGTGAGGTCATACCAGGTGCGTGCACCCGCTGAGCATGAGCGCAGCTTGGCAGGCACTCCCTAGCCATAGCTTTGGTTCAAAGCTCTACGTGGCTAGATGACGTTGAGCCGCATATAATCGGTCTGGCGCAAGATGCGCATCCGTGTTGCGATCCGACTGACTGAAAGGTACCAGGGTGGAGACGTTACATGAATCGTTGGCGGACCGCTGTCGTAGGGCTTAGCCCGACTTACAGCATGGTCAGTGATGCAAAAAGCTTGGTTCCACAAGAATTGATGTAGCCTGAGTGATGAGAGTATTGCTTACGGGCACAGTGCTGGCTAGCAGAGTAGTCCAAAGTTCACAGCCATGATTTGCCTACTTGAGCAAAGCTGTCAGTTGACCTACGATAAACCTTTTTGTGTCGAAAGTCTCATACGCCACATAAAGGTTGCACATGTAGCGAATCTTGTAGTTCCTGACTTTCAGAAGCCACCTAGGTATCGTTCCTGCTCATGTATCCTGGGAGCACGCTTGGTGGTGATGTTCCCGCAACCGGCCAAACATGGCAAAAAAAGACTACACCGCCTCGCAACTAGCATCACGAACGTTCAGGTTTTGATTCGATAGGTGTTCCCTCGATCTGCCCAGTGTCCGCAGCACAGAAAAGGCAAAAAAAGGAGGAATGCGCTCTTGCGAACGCCGATGAATGACTCATCGGAGGTTTGAACTCCGGACCTTCAGTGTACTAAGGAGTGCTGTGAAGCGCTCTGTTAGACTGACGTGATAACCAACTACACCAACGAGCCCTATTTGATGTATAATGGGATAAAACCATACAATATATACTCGATGTAAGAAGTTTCACACGACAGCATGGTTCGAATATCTGCGAATGCTCACCCGACATCAATGGTGTCAATGTTAACGGTCGGGTCAAAAATTGAAAGAATTTACGGTCGAGGTGGGGAAATACATGTCACTGAGCAGATGTGGTTAGGTCATGGGCTGGCACCGCACAATCCCATCCATAGCTTTACCTGACCGACGAGATCCCCAAAATGACATCAAATACCATGACGATCACATCCTCCTACGCCTTTGAGGATCGTCCGGGCCATGCTACATTTCTGCTGTGACTCTGCTTGGAACAACCTTGAAAAGTGCGCTCGTGTCTTCGGCCCGACGTAAGCAATACCCGATGC